TAAGAAGATTTATATTAAAACTAATATATCGAAATTTATAATTACTAGTACTATTTTATAATAAGTTAATTCTAGTAATAGTCCGAAAAAATACTAGTATCTAGTAGTATTCTAGTTCTAGAAACTTTCCGGAGCCAAATATAATTATAATACCTATAATAGAGAGCTTTTTATAATTATTAAAGCCTTTAAATATTAGTACTATTACTTTAAAGAGTTTAGGTTTATAATAAAAGTTATTATAAACTATAATAACCTCTAATACTTTATAGAAATAAAATATCTAAAGAGCTATTAAATATATTAGGTAATATATCTTATAATATATAATTTTAATATTATTTATTATAAAGGTATCTCAAATCTAGTAAATGAACCTAATAAAAGACCTAATTATAAAAAAGGTCTTATTAATATAATTTAGTTTCCGGTTCTTTAGAATAAGTTAAAAAAAGCTTTTATAATTATAATTTAGAGATTCTTATAGATATCTAAAGAGTTTTTTTTTTAGAATAAGTATTATTTAATACTTGCTATATCTATAGTAACTAAAAAGAAATATTTATTATAAAATAAATAAATAGATTATTTTACAGATTTCTTAACTATAGAATTAGTTAAGAAATAAGGTATAGAAAGATACCTTAAAGGCTCTACTATTATAGTTAAAGTAATAGGAATATCTATAATTATATTACTTAATAGAACTAAAGACTCTTTAATTTCTCGAGTTTTTGAATTAGATAATTATAAATACCTAATTCCCTATATATAAATATATATAGCTACTAAAAGAGCTATAATACTAGTTCTTTTATCTAAATCCCTTCTAGATATTATTTAGGTAATTTAGAGAAATAATTCTCGATATTAGAATATTATAAAATAGAGGCTTAGTAAGAAAGATACTAAAAGAAAAGAAATCTGGAAAAATAATTCGAGTCTATTTAGGTATTATTCCAGAATTATTATATCTAATAATCCCGCTTTATATTAAGAAGTTATAAAGCTTTATTATAATAACCTAATAGCCAAATACTATAGAATAGAAAAAACTCTCGAGTTTCTTAGAAGGTTTTAGTATTAGAAGAATATAGAAGAAGATATTTATAATTACTATTAAGAATATAATATTTACTAGAGAATTAAGATAAAGAGGTATTTATTATATAGTCTATTTAGTAGTTTATTATAGTCTAAGAAACCCTGGAATAAGATTTCTATAGATTTTATTATAGGTTTATTATTATATAAGAATCTAATAAGAGATCCCGATTTTAATATAATTCTTATAATTATTAACTAGTATTCTAAAATAGTAAGATATATTATATATTATAAGACTATTAACTTTCTAGAGCTTACTAAGATTATATAGAAATATATTTTCTTGATTTTTGGCTTTACTAATAAAATTATTTCTAATTAAGAAATAGTATTTACTAGCTAGTTCTGGTTTATTTTCTATTTCTATTTAATATATAAATAATATTTAAATATAGTTTATTATTTTCAGATAAATAGTTAGATAGAAAGATAAAATCAGGCCCTAGAATACTATCTAAGATATTATTATAATACCTAAAAAAATAACTAGTTTAAAAAGTTGTTTTTTATAGAATTTATATATAATAACTTAAAATATTAGGTTTTATAGGATATATCTTTCTATATATATTATAAATACTACTTTTAACTTCTATAGAATCCTAAGAACAGGATTATAGAAAAGATATTAGCTATATATAAGAGATTAGAAATCCTTAAAATAAAATAGAGAAAGCTTAAAAATTTATAGTATTATATATAAAATAACTAGGAAACCTATTATAATAAATACTAGTTAGCTAAATACTATTCTAAAAGAGCCTAAATAATACTATTAATAAAAAATATTAAGCTTAAAATAAAGAAGCTTAAACCAAAATTTATAGGTTTATTTAGGATCCTTAAATATATTAGTAATTTAATATATAAGTTAAAACTACTAAATATATATAATTATTTATATTTAACTTTCTATCTTTCCCTCTTTAAAGAATATATAATAAAAAAGAATTAGAAACTATATCTATATTTTTCTAGAGAACTTCCGGAATTAGTAAATAATAATAAAGAATAAAAATAGGAAATAGAAGCTATTATTAATTACTAATAAGATAATAGAAATAAAAAGTAATAGTATTTAATTAAATAGAAAGCCTAATCTAAAAATTATAATATCTAATTATTTATTTTTCCTAAGTTTGAAAATTCTAAGAAACTTCTGAAATTATATAATTAAAACTATAGTTTAGAATCCGAAACCACCTTTTAATAATCTTTTAAGATTAAAAAGAATTCTAAACTACTAAGAAAAAGGCTATTTAAAAGAAAGAAAGAACCTGAATAGCTAAAAAAAAAAGGCCCGGAATAGTAATAGAAATACTCTTTTTCTAGAATTTTTTTTTATCTATAAAGATTTTCTAGGATTTTATTAAGGCTTATAAGAATTATATTTAAATTATTAGAAAAAGGTTTAGGATTAAGAAAGATTTATTATAAATAGATTAGCTATAGGTATTTCAAATAAATAAATTCTAATTTCTATAAATTCCTAATTTCTAAAATAAGAATACTAAATACTAGTTCTATTTAGGATTTAATAAAGAATTAGCTAATATTTTCCGGAATTTACTTATCTCTTAATAAAATATAGTTATATTATAATAATATTAGTATTAAGAATATTAAAAGAAATAAGTAAGGAACTTATAACTACTATATATATTTTATAAAAGGCCCGAACTTCTAAAGTTAGGTCTCAAATAGCTATAAGTATTATATTATTAGTATTTGAAATACTAGTAATAAACTATTTAGTAATCTTAATAGTAATCTTAGTAATAAGATTAATATTTTAAAAATAAACTTTATAGTATTTCTTTAAGGAATTAGTAAGTACCTAAATATATTAGAAAGAACTTATTTTAGAAATATTAACCCAAATAGTATTATTTTCTATTTTATTAAAATAGAAAAAAGAATTTTAAAGTTTATTAATATCCTTCTAGTTTTCAAAAACCTAATTAATAGTATTATTCTTATTAGTATAATACTATTTAGGATATATTTTAAGAAATTACTTAAAGGTTATAATAGTATCTTTCTAGAACTAATAAGTCTCTAATAAATAATAAGAAATCTGAAATTATATTAGCTTTAATAGATATTAAAACTAAAGAACTTACTAATATATAAAACTTAGAACTCTTATTATAATAGTTATAATTCTTCTTATTAGGTACTATAGTATATAAGATAAAGAAATTAATAAGTAAATACTTGAAATATTTCAAGTATCTACTAATAATAGGAAAGGAAATAGTAAGGTTACTTTTATACTTATTATTATATTAGTAGATAATAAAGTTAGAAGAAGATATTATAGAATTAATTAAAAGTAATTAAAGAAAACTTGGAAAAGGATAGAAGAAGAGACTAGAAAGTAATAATAGAAAAAGTTATTATATATATAGTTATTAGAAAGGAAGAGAATATATAGTAATATAAAGAGGTCCTTTTATAGAAGTAGAGAATTACCTGAATTAACTACTAGTTTTTATACTAGTTCTAATCGGAATTTAGTATAACTAATTAATATATACTCTCAGGAGTCTATAAATAATCTCTAGGACCTCAGAAATATTTATATAGGTTTTTTATATAAATATTTATTAAATTCTTTCTATATAGCTATTTAGATTATTCTAATACGAGATCTAACAGGTAGTATTAATTTTATAGGGTAGTACCTTGGTACTTTGGATCGAACTAATTAGAATACTTAGATTCCAAACGAAATCGCAATTACTGGCTAGCTCCTATACCTGGAGTATAATTACCCTTCCTTCTTACTTATTTAGCCCTGATCTAATTAGATGATTTTTATATCTATTATCCAGATTATATTAGTAAAACCACCTTCCAAGATACTGGAAGTTTACCTTAATTAAATAAATAATTAATTAAATATTTACCAGAATAGATTAATAGATCTTGGGGATAAGATCTATAGAGAGGGGTATAGTTATAATGTATACAGGGTCGTACGTAACTTAAGGGCATGTAATAAACCTCGGATATTACGGGTATTAATTAGGGAGATCGGCGGCCCTTCGATGCTATAACCAACCACTGTTTATATTATAAGTATTAGGCTTATAAATCACTAATTATATATATGTTATCGGGGCCTCCTATTTAGAGGGGGCTTTCCTGGACCTTATAGGAGGGACAGAGATTAGTTCTGTACTGAATTTAATATTGTGGTTTCATAATATACTGATTCATTCTATTGTCTTATTGCCTACTAACAAACACCTCACAAATATCCATAACAGTGTAATACAGCTGTAAGGTCCTACTGTTTTTGGCCCTAGGCTTATAATATACCTCCCATAATGATTGTTGTAAGGATTTATGGTCCGGAGATTATTATTTTGGTATAATATCGTTCTAGTCATCGAACTCAATGGATTAATTCCTCTCTTTTATAGGGCCTTCTACCCCCCAGACCCTAGTAATTCGGAGTCGCGGACCATTGATCTTACTATTTCACAGCCTGTAGTATTTACTACTGATTCTACTGGCCCTTAGTAGCCTAAAAAGCGTCGAGGAGCTATTACTAAAGAGATTCTTTATATATCTTTAATTTTTATTATCTTTACGTGGATGCACGTGATTCTTGATACAACGATACCTCGGTGTATCGTTAGAAAATGACGCTAAAATCGATATCGTTATATCGAGTTTCTGCTGTAATGAGTTAGCTGGATTTTGCTCAGGGGGCCTTTTCCCGGCTCCTCGCGAATCGGCTCTTTGAATCAAGCTGCAGATCATGTGACTACCAACCTGGTGCGCAGCGATTTCAGATCAAGCTTTTGTCCGTAAGCTGCTTCGTCTGCACTTAGTCAGCTCAATCTGGCCTTACCTCCGTGCTCGCACACTCGGCTCACTATCGGCACATTCACTAAAGAGCGTCAACGAGTTAAACCCTACACCACAGCCTTGATTACACGGAATCGTCGAAGTTGTGCCGGATCTTATGGCCGCTGGCATTGTGCCGGTACTCCAAAGCGCTACGGTCTCCTAACCATGCGTCTCTTGAGAGGCAGCAATGGGGGGGAGTTCAGCCTGACCGAAGAAATTCTGACGGACATTCCCAAGTATGCCACCCTCTCGCACACGTGGGGGCCGATGAGGTCCATTTCCAAGATATTAAGGACGGTTCTGGTCAGAGCAAATGTGGCTGCAACAAGATCCAGTTTTGCAGCAAGCAGGCGCAGCACGATGGCCTAACCTACTTTTGGGTCGACACCTGCTGTATTGATAAATCGAGCAGCGCGGTGTGGTATTACATTGCATAAAAGAATTGTAGGCATTTGCTCTTGATTCAAGTGCACTTTGTTATGATCTGTGTAGAGTTTCAAGCTCCCAACTTACTTAGCGTTACCCTCTTGAAGCTACTTACATTATTCTGTCACCGGCACTGCTAGTCAGTAAGCGCCAATTCTGGATAATTCACCGTACTTAAAAGTATCTCCAGGAAGCGTAAGGCCTGTACTGTATATGCTATACAGAGTAAAAGAGGACACCGGTTTCGCGCACAGCTGTATTCCTTCGTGCAACGGTCTCATATCATCCGTGCAACTGGTGCCCTCAATAGCACTGGCGCATCGATCATCCGGCCACTTCTGGCTCTGGCTCATCTGCCTCTTGAGCAGTACTCTTACGTTTCCGTCAAGTGAGCACGTGACTGGCAAGCGCCCAGAAAACCATCAACCGAAACACATCATTCTGCCTTCACAAGCATCCAACACAACTCCATAGCTACAGCAAACTTCCAGTTACTGCGCTTTTTCCAAGTCGTTTACGCTCACGCTCTTTTCCAGTGTACTGACTCTACATCGACTGCACCATGTCTGACATCAAGTACTCCACAATCTTGGGCGCCCCAGGCGATGCAAAAGCCAGCTGCAAGGGGCATGGAACGCTTGAAATCCTCGAAATCATCCAGATACTCGAGAGTGCAGGGATTCCGTGCTGCATAGTTGGCATTTCAGCATTAAAATACTTTGGCGCGTGGATAATGCGAAATGTAAGCCGGGTCTCTTCTACCACACCAAGCTGCTTCCCACTGATATCGTTTCTAGGACTGGGAAATATGTGTGCCAACGGAGAGTCTTGACAGAGCCTCTGCCCTTCTGAAAGGTGCGCCATACGATGATATATACGAGCCATGTCAACATGAGCGCCCCCATATCTACTCCCTACTCCATACATTTCCGCGGTTCAAATTGAAGGGCGTTGATCTTTGGTTCGACCTCATTCCTTCGGAAGACGCCCATCTCGCTTGTGAACCTGCAAATTTCGAGCGGAGTAAAATGGGCCTTCCTTATCCAAAACTCGAAATCTTCGCCCAGAGTCTCGTGGACACAAACAGTGCCGTACGGATTGCAGACCTTGTCGATGGAATGGGTTTGACCGAGGAATGGGGTTCTCAGAATCTTGATCTCAGTGGGACAAATGATATAGTTTGGGCACAGCAAAAAAACAAGCGAATTAGCAAGTCTGTTCCAGAAACGACAAATTCACTTATGCTCCAAGTCAGCGAAGCACCATTCAGCAAGAAAGAGATTTGGGATGACATCGTGAGATCAAGAGATCAACGAATTGATCTTGCTTGTTCGAAAGAGGTCTACGTGACCCGCTTTCGCTCTCGAGACAGTGGAGATCCGCGATTACTTGAAAGGAACTTTGTTTGAGACATCCTAATTGTCCACATCTCAATGCGCAATGAATGAACATATCAAGTAGCGGAAATCAAGAAGAAATTGAAGCTATGAATTTTTCTCTGTCCATTACATGACCACTCTGGAAATCCTCAGTTCACGACGCCAGCTGTGTAAAGTTGTCTCAGCTCATAATCGAAAACATTTTTCCTCCTCCGAAATTACACATTGGGCGCAAGTGATCTTACCTTATCCCACTCACTCCTATAAATAATAAAAAACTCCATGCCGTTCCGTAACGCCGAGAAAGACATCTAAAGACGAATATTGGCTCCTTCATTTTAGCCAGTGTCAAAAAAGTAATCAAGGAACTCCGAATATTTATAAATATTTATAAATATTTATAATTAGACTATAATTACCATAATACTTAAAAAGTTTATTTAGATCAGAATATATAATTATAAATATTTACAAATGATTTAATTACTATATATATAACTATAATATATAATATATTAGACTAATTTAGTATGACTTCTAATCTAGTATTATTCTTATAAGCCTTTTTATTTACTAATTAAATAGTAAAGTAATACTTAGAGAATACTAAAATAAAGTTTTTATTTAATTAAGTTAATATATTATATAATAATTAAAGTATTTATAAATATTTATAATTACTTTAATTAGAATTTAAGTAAAATATAATTAGTAAATATTTTTAATAAATAACTTATTAATAAAAATAAATATAAGGAAATATAATTTATAAAAAGAAATTAAGGAAATATTATATAAATAAAGTATATATTAAATTATTTAAGGTTTTTTTATAAGAAAAAAAAAGCTAAATATAAAAAGAAGTAAAAAGTTAAGAAGTTATATAAAAATACCTGATTTATTAAATATTAGCTTAATTCCCACTATATTAATTAGTATTCTGATCTTATTTATTTATTTAATATACTAATTTTAGCTAAATAATATAATTTAATAACTTATAATAACTACTTTATTAATTACTTTATATTTTTAAAATATAAGACTAGAATTAAGATTTGAACTAGTAATAATAATTGAATTTCCTTTTCTTTTATTATTATTACTTTATAAGAAATTAATACCTTATTTTACTTGTTTAATAAAAGAAGTTTAATTCTTTATATATTAATAATATATAATTTTGGCTAGAATTAAGAAATATTAAAGAAATATTTAATTAGTATTTTTATACTTGAGTTTATTTATATTATTAAAAGGCTTAATTTATAAATAAAAGAAAATATAGTAAAATGGTTTTTATTTCTTTTCCTTTAAGTATTAGTATTTAAGGCTAGAGTTTGTTCCTAAATACTAAATTACTTATTCTAGAGAAGTAATAACCGGATTGAGATCTAGAAGAGAAGTTTTCGGGCTTTCTTCTAAGGCGGATAGCCTGGAGATCCAAGAAGTGGTTGTGCTAGGCTAGCCTGGGGCTAATAAATAAGGCTTTCTTAATATAAACTATTCCTTTCATATGTCTCCCTAGGCTAAATAATAATAAGTAACCTAAAGCTCGATTTAGCCAAACGCTGTTCAAACTACAATATTTGTTTCTCCGCCACTTGTTTTTGAATTCGGATCGGTTACATTAAAGAACTAAACCACCCACCGGAGCCGCAGCAAAGGCCATGGGCTAGTAAACACCAAAACTAGACTGTACTTCGGCTCCCGATGTAGTTACTACACCGCTCTTCGATCGACGCATTATCGTCTAACCAGTGGAGAATATAAAGAACAGCGCCCATGTGGCCCAAAGCAGCCCAAGAGCACCCTGGCCGGGAAAAACGGAGCCACCAGAAGTTGTCTGTAATATATGCCCCATCTCTGTGTCTGCAACTGCGACAGCAGGTGTCAACGCAGTCGCTCCCCAAGTCAACATTAATGAAAATTGCCTATAGAAGTTTTGACGGCGTTTCGTTGATGGTGCGACTGCGACATTTCGGTTGCACTTAGTACTGTAAATCTGCAAGAGATCGATTATAAGGGCGACAAGAAACAATACGGCTCCAATGCCGAACACATTGAGTATCGCCCGCTTTGGAGGTTGATGGCTTCATTTATTGTTTCGGTGTTTTACGAACCGGCTCGAGAGGTCTCTTGGAGTCTCGCGAGCATCACATCGGCGGAAGAAAAGCCATCCTATAGGCAATCAGAGAGCCAGTGCCACTGTACACACAGATACCTTTATTGGAAAATGATTGATATATTGATGGAAAATCGATATATTGGAGGTTGACAGTCTGCAGAATGACTAGATATAAGAGAGTGAAGTGTGAAAATAGAGGAAAAGTGTCCAAAGTCAGGGATTTATTCTTATTACCCTTCGGCAATACCGGTAATACCAAGCCCGCTTTCTCTGATATATTATTAATTAGCTAATAAATCAAAAGTAATCAAAATGACGATATACTAGTAAGCTTGGTAATCTCGGCAAGTGACGCATGACAAATGAGAGTGGAGAACCCTAAATTAGTGGTTGAACCTGGTGCTGGAAGGACTGGTTAGCTATGGTAGCGTACCAATTTCAATAACCTTAATGTTTTAGTATTTGCTATAACCGTGATTATGGCACTTGACTTACCGAAGTATCCTATGTGCACCGAGAATTGATTAGCTGTTTGAAGTTGAAAGAGGTATAGATTTGGAATTCCCGCAGAATTGGACGTGCACCCAGCGAGGAGCAGGTCTAACCGTACCACTCCCTAGGTGACGACTTCAAGAATCAAGATTATTCACCATAGAATAGAAGAATAGGAACGGCTAGAAGATATGTTAGAAATTTCTCTCCAGTTCCTGCATTGGCGAGCGTCCTGGCTAGTGATCGAATAGCGCAAACTGCAGAGGATTGTATTTTGGTAGAGAGGGTCGATCTGATCTAAGGGTGATCAGGCTTGGCAACAATACCTGAGGCATCAATACGTATTAATACCGAATCGATTCTTATATCGCTTTCTACCCTGCACCCTTTAATTTTTACTCTCTTTACTTCTCTCACCTCACATTACGATTCCATTTAGATTACACTCTCAAAATGTCTTCTCTATCTAAACTAGAAAAATCAATTTCGATTTTCAGAATTATAAAATAAAGGTCTCTTACTCAGAAGTACTATTATTCTCCTATTAAGAAAAAGAACCAAGCTTATCTTTATTATATTTATTATACGAATTTAGTAAAATTACTATATAATACTTCTATTATAAAGAATATAAAGAAAGTACTTAAAGGCTATTACTAGATTATTATTAAAAAAATTAATTACTAGCTTAAAAAAGATATTAGAATATTATATAATAAATACTTTAAATTATATTCTTGTTTAGTTATATCTCTTCTAATATCTGAATTTTTTAAATTAATAACTTTTATTTATAATTTATAACTATTTTATTATATATAATAAAAAGTAATAAAAGCTTTTTCTTATTTTAAAAAAGATTTCTAGCTATAGTTTAGAGGCTTAAATAATAATTCTTTAGCTAATTCTTTAAAATTATAATATTATTAATAAGCTTAAAGTTATTATAAGTAATAATACTTTTATAAATAATATACTTTACTAATTAATTTAAAAGAAGCTAAAGAATATACTTGGCTTAAATTAGAAAGCAAATTACTAATATATTTATTATTTAGGCTATATTATTAATTCAATTATATAAGTCTTTTTATTTATAAATTAAATTAGCTTAAAAAAGCTTAAGTTATATAATAAGTAAAAGTAAACTAAAGCCTTTAATATAATAATAATAATAATAAGAATCTAATTTAGGCTAATAAATTTCCTTAGCTAAATATATAATATTATAATTTATATTTATAAATTAGTTTAAAGAAATAAAGGAATTTCATATCTTTATAAGAAAGCTAATTTTAATAAATAATTATATAAGATAAAATAGCTAATATTAGATACTTTTTATATTACTTAACTTATAACTTATAATAGAAAAATATTATTAAAATTATAAAAAGAAGCTTAAGAAAAATATCTTGATTTTTAAAAATTAGAAAAAGCTTTATATAATTAAGGAATTTCCTACTTCTTTTAATTTCACTTTTTTTATAATAAATATTTTAATTAATTATTATAAAACCGGGTCTCTGGGCTTGAAAAGCAAAATAGAGTAGTTTTTAATCCGAGAAATCTAAATTAAGGAGAGAAGCTCATAAGTACAGGAGCTTGGTATTCTAAATACTAGCCAATCGCATGCGTTAAAGATCCTCAGAAGAAATAGGCAGAAGTGAACCAAGTACCAGGTTGTCGAATTACCAGGTATTTTACACGTTATATAGGAACACCAGAGATTTCTAGAATTGTGTATCTTTTTAGAAGAGAAGCATGAAGCTCGTAGAAGCTTGGGAGCGAGGCTAAATACTCCTTAGCGCCATAATTAAGCGAAATGTGTGCCTAAGGCTCAAGCGAATTTTCCCCCTCACAGCGTTATCGCGGTCACGTGACGCTAAATTTACCAGTAAAGCGGCAGGGCATAACATTAACTACTTTTAAAAAAAGAATATAAGTTCTTTATTTCCCTTATATAATTATATTAATTTTAATAAGTCAAATATTAAAAAGTAAAGCTTTAGAAAGAAAAAACTTTCTTATTAAATTAAGGTAATATATAAGGTTTTAAATAATTATTATATAAAAACTAATATATCTTTAGTTTATATTATTATATTAATTTTAAATTCTTATAATTATATAAAATATATTAAAATATATTAAAATATATTAAAATATATTAATTAAAGAAATAATTTAAATTAGTTCTAGTTAAAATTAAAAAGCTTTAAAAAATATAAGAAAAGGGCTATAATTATATTTATTTCTTTAGCTTTTTTATATTATAGTTTATTTTATAAGATATTATTAATATTTATTAATATTTATTAATATTAGAAATTAGATATTTTTATTAAATTTAAAAATAATTATATTCTTTATTAAATAATTTCGAAGTTTAGGAAAAATTTATAATAATAAATTTAATAGAACTTTGAAATAAATTAAGTAAATATTAGCTAAACTCTATTTTTATTTCAAAGTTATATTTCAATTTTTTGCGATTTTTATTAT